CATTTCACTTATGTTCTGAGAACACTCACTGAACATCTATCACCAAGACAGTTGCCATGATTGTTTTCACCCACAGAGGTGAAACTCAAGGAGGTACATAAGTTCTCTCTGCCCCAGACAAGGTTTATCTGTGTAGCCCTGGATATCCAGGAGCTTACTCTGTAGTCCAGGCTGGCCTTGAACTCAGAGATCCACCTGTCTCTTCCTCCCAAGTGCTGGGATTAAAGGCATGCCCTACTACCACCTGCCTTAAGCACACAGTTTAACTGTCAAAGATTTGTGATTTAAAATATTTTATTTTCTTCTTTTTTAATTTAAAATTTTTCACAATTTATTCTTTATATATCCCAACTGAAGTCTCTTCCCTCAACTCCTCCCAGTCCCACTCTCTTTCTTCCCCCATCCCCTTCTCCTAGTCCACTGAGAAGAGAAGCTCTTCTCCTCTGCCATCTGCCTATAGCTTGTCGAATCTCATCAGAACTGCCTGGATCCTCTTCCTCTGTGGCCTGGCAAGACAGCATCACTAGGGTCAAGTGATCAAAGAGCACGCAACCTAGTTCATGATAGAGGCAGCCCCTGCTCCCCTTACCCAGGAACCCATATGGGGACTGAGCTGCCAGTCCACTACATCTGAGCAAGGGGTCTAGGTCCTCTCCATGCATGGGCCTTGGTTGATGCATCAGTCTCTGCAGGACCCCCTGAGCTCAGAATTTTTAGCTATGTTGGTCTCCTGTGGGGATCCTGTCCCCTCCATGTCCTTCTATCTCCCCTCACTCTTCTTCCATAAGACTCCCTGCACTCTGCCCAAAGTTTGACTGCTTCAATCCCCTGTTGAGTGAAGTTTTTCAGAGGACCCTCTATAGTAGGCTCCCATCCTGCTTCCTCTCTCCATCGCTTCTAGTGTCTATCCTGTTTGCCATTCTGAATGAGATTTAAGCATCCTCCCTAGGGTCCTCCTTAGTGTTTTGCTTTTTTAGGTCTGTAGGTTTTAGTATGGCTATCCTATATTATATGGCTAATATCCGATTATAAGTGAGTGTATACCATGCCTGTCTTTCTTTTTCTTGGTTATCTCACTCAGGATAATCTTTTCTAGTTCCAACTCTGAGATTCCATCTAACATCGATCAGAATGGCTAAGATCAAAAATTCAAGTTGTTAGTATTTAGAAACCTGTTCCTGGGTTGCCTAGCAACCTATGATGTCATTATGTGTCTCTGGCCAGGTGCCACACCTGGAAGGTGTGGTTACCTTGCCCCTTAAAGGGAACAACCCAACATGTGGTCCCTCTCTTGCTCCTCTTTTGCTCTTGCCCTCTTGCCTTCTCTTGCCCTCTTGCCTTCTGGCCCTCTCTCCTTTCTCTGTCAGGGCGCCCCCACTTTCCCTCCATCATGTCCTGCCCTCCCTTCTCTCTCTCTCTTCATCTCTATCTAATATACCTCTTTTATATAAAGTCTGTTAACAGTCATTATTTAATTGTCCCCAACACAAGTGACAACACATGCTGGAGAGGATGTGGAGAAAGGAGAACCCTCCTCCATTGTTAGTGGGCATGCAAACACTTTGGAAATCAGTCTGGCATTTTCTCAAAAAACTGGGAATATCACTGTCTCAAGATCCAGATATACCAGTCCTGGGCATACACCCAAAAGATGCCCCACCATTCAACAAGGACATTTGCTCAATGATGTTTGTAGCAGCTCTATTCATAATAACCAGAATCAGAAACAACCTAGATGTCTTTCAGTGGAGGAATGGATGCAGAAATTGTAGCACATTTATACAATGGAATACTACTCAGCTATTAAAAACAAGGAAACAATGTAATTTGCAGGGAAATGAATGGAACTAGAAAAGATCATCCTGAGTGGCTTAAAAGTTTAAATGGGAGCTTAAGAAAAAGCAAACAGATGCTACCCCTTTCATGTCTTCCTGTGGAGAGTGAAGGAATGGGACCATGAAGGAAACATGGACAGTGCCCACCAAACTGTTCCCTTGCCTTAACTTACGTCATTTACTTATGTTATTTATATGTAAGCCATAAAAAGCAGTATGTATAGTGAGCTTACTCAGTTCTTTACATTATGTTCATACAATTGTGCCTATTTTGCTTCTAAAATATACTAAGTAGCCTGCAGAGGGTGCACTTTTCTTATTTTTACCTCCTCAAGCTTGTGCAAAAGAACAGGAAGTTTTACAAGGTTAGGGTTCAGCTTCTTTTTCTTTTCTTTACTAAATGTTGGAATATGGAATATGTAAAAGGCAGAGTGGGAAGTCTCTTTTTAGCTGTTTTAATAACAGAAAAATCAATTTTGATGATTTTCTTTCAAGACTGTAGTCTCCATCACAGAAATCCAGAACTGGTCAAAAAGCAGAGAACAACTGACTATGAGGTTCCCAACCCCAACTGATACATCTACAATATAGCACACTACAGTACAACACAAGACAGTGTAGAGCAATGCAATATAACACAACTCAATAAAATACAGTACAATGCAATGCAACCTTAACATCTAAGGCTCAGGGAACATTGCAGAAGAAGGGGGTTGTACTAGCTAGAGGACCAGAATGCCTACTACAAGATAGTGTAGGGAAGCTACACCTATGGAATCTTAACAAGATGGTCATACAAACAAGACTTGCACAATGACAACAGCAGTTACCAGAATGAACGAGAGAAATCTTCTCTTCCTCCTCCTCTTCCCTCCCCTTTGTTTGTTGAGACAGGGTTTCTCTGTGTAACAGTACTATCTGTCCTGGACTCGATTTGTAGACCAGGCTGGCCTTGAAGGCACAGAGATCTGCCTGCCATTATCTCCTGAGTGCTGGAACTGAAGGCGTGTGCCACCACTGCAAAATTCTTTTTTTTTTTTAGTGTGGAATTCTTAACAAAACTGTGATCTCATTCATGGACTGATTCTTTTCCAAATTCCTGCCTCCCTGGAAGTTACTTTTTTAAAAATTAATTAATTTTATGTATATGAATGCTCTGTTTTCATGCACACCAGAAGAAGAAATCAGATTCCGTTACTGGTGGATATGAGCCACTATGTGGTTGCAGGGAACTGAATTCATGACCTTTGGAAGAGCAGCCAGTGCTTTTAACTGCAGAGCCATCTCTCCAGTCCTGTAACTTACTTTTTCACGTTGCTCTTTTCATTCATTTATTTTCATCCTTAAAATAGGATATCACTGTGTAACCCTGACTGGCCTGGAACTTGCTGTGTAGATCAGGCTGGCTTTGAATTCACAGAGATCCTCTGCCTCCTGAGTGCTGGAATTGAAGGTGTGGACCACCATGCCTGGCCTTTACCTTACTCTGTCTTTCTTTTTCTCTGCCCCACTCCTGAGTGTATGTGTGTATGTTTTCATGCTGAAAGATGTTTCTATTTGTATTCCCTTTCTGTATGGGTTTTATTGAATGGAAATATAATGCAAGCTGCATTAAATAACTTAAATAATACACAACTTAAAATGTCTTCGTGGTCACATTAAACAGCAAAAAGAAACAAGTGACATTAATTACACATATTATTAATTCTAAATTACTTTTTAAAAAATATCTAGTTTTTTTTACCACTACCATTCCTTAATTAAAATATTAATGAATATTATTTTAGTGAATGAGTTACATTTATAGAACATTCCAAATTAAAATGAACATATTCCATTGCTCAATAGCCTTGTGAAAAAGCACCTACAGTATTGGACAATGTATCGCTAACTTCCTTCTATCTTTCAATTGGCCATCCTAGCCAGACTAGCAGAAAGCAGTGCACTAAAAAATCACCTCCCCCTGAGGGGGGAGCAGCCTTACCAGGCCACAGAAGATGACAATGCAGCCACTCCTGATGAGATCGATAGACTAAGATCAGAAGGAAGGAGAGGGGGACCTCCCCTATCAGTGGACTTGGGGAGGGGCATGCGTGAAGAAGGGGGAGGGGAGGTGGGATTAGGAGGGGAGGAGGAAGGGGTTTTTGGGGGGATACAAAGTGAATAAGGTGTAATTAATATAAGTTAAAAAAAATGCTATGCATCCAGGAACAACTCATGTCAAATTGTTCACCAGTTTGGATAGTGTAGGAAACATAAGAAATAACCTGAGTTTCTTCTGAGACTGTCACCAACATCTGCAATCCTTTTTCTAGAATGAAGTAGCATTTCTTAGGCAGTTTTTCAGAGGCTCAGATTCCCTCTTTTCCAACATGAGGTGTCTCCTTTATTCTCCTGAGCATTTGCTTGCAAGTGCATAAAACCTGCCTTCTGTTGGGTATTTTCTATGCGTTAGGGCATGGGTCTAATTCACTGCTCACACATAAAATTCCCCTTGTTTTTGACAATATCCTTTTGGGTATTTTTATTATCTCCTCTGTTTTAAGGTGAGGAAACAGTAGAGGAAGCTTAAAGGTGTTGACCAACACAACCCAGTTAGAAGATGGCAGAGCTGGGATTTCAAGATAGTTAGGGACACTTTCGAGTTCCAAGGTCCGTAACTTTAGCAGCTCCCGAGTGGTGGTTATTCTAAGTAGAAGAAAAGCCAGAATTTAGTAATCCTGTAACCAGACCTTTCTGTTTTTCAGGAAGACACAAATTCTGCCTGGGGCGGAGGGAGGTTGAATGGTTTTTCCCTTTAACATCCAGGATTGGCGCTCGCACTGTTGACTCCAGCGTTTGTGCCCTTTTCCTTGACTAGAAATATTTCCAGATTTAAACTCTAGTTTGTAAGGACCATTACAGACCATGTCCAAAGAGGAAGCAAGAGGTTTCAGATTCATTCCAGAGCAAAAAAGAACTGACATGAGAAGGTTTGTGTGAGGTCACTAGTCTCACTGTGACTTTGAGTTGGCCTTGATCTTTATTTAGCGTTTCAGTTTTATGTTCTGCAACAAGTTTGGCCATGTTGGAGGACCATCCAAAGGTCATTAAGTTGGCTGCTGGTGATTGGGCGCTCACCCGGTCGCCAGGGTCTATTACTGTGCCGGTGGAAATCCCCAGCTCACCTCTCCATGGTGTTCCAGCCACTTTCTGAAAAGTCATGGCCTTTGCAGGTTTTTTGTGCACTACTCCGTAAGAGCCCAGGACTGTGGGGACCTGGGTGAGAGTGGAGCTCTTTGACTGGGCCTTCCATCTCTGTGGGTAGGCTTTTGCTTCAAGACTCCTCTTGCACTTTCTCACTACAGGGTGTGATTTGAAGGGGAAAGGCTCTTCCTAAATAACTTAATTGTGATGCTTTTTATTCTTTGATTTGAGTGCAAATATTCTGCTGTCTCTAAATATCACAGTGAGTATCACAAAACTTGTTTTCAAATGTTAGCTCACTCAACAGTATAACAGGCAATCATCTGGATTTGCCCTGATCTTGAATTATGAAAAATATTCTGTTAATCAATCAGTTTAAGTGTTCTTACAACTTTTGTTTCTTAATAGATTTGTTAAGTCTAGAGACTCTGCCAAGTATGTTAGCACATACCTTTAATCCCAACACTAGGGAGGCAGAAGCAGGTCCTGGAGCTCTGTGAGTTCAAGGCCAGCCTGGTCTACAGAGCTAGTTCCAGGATTCCAGGATAGCCAGGGCTATACAGTGAGACTAGAGACTATCTCTCCATTAGTTGCTTAACAAGACAATCGTTTTTACCTAGGAAAACCAAACACCTTATTTGAGTTCTTGCTGTGACTGTTGGTCACATCAAGTAATCTGATTCTCAGGTTTCTTTACTACTAATTCATGAAAGTAAATTCTTTTCTTTTTAAAAAGATTTACTTCTTTTTTAAATGTTTGTGTGTTTTGTCTGAATGCATGTTTGTGCACCACATGCGTACAAGGTGCCAAAAGAGACGGGAAGAGGGTGTCAGGTTCCCTAGAAGAGATAGTTGTGGGCCACTATATAGGATGCTGGAAACCAAACTTCATCCTTTGGAAGAGTAGTCAGTGCTCTTGACTGCTGAGATATCTCACTAGCCCATAAAATTACTTTTCTTACAGAATTATGGATGACCTCTATGCATGAGGACTTTGAAAATTATTAATTATTCAAACGCTATTTTACACCAAATTGTTACATGTCTCTGAATATTTAAGTACATAGGTGCTATTATTATTTTGTGTGTTTATGTACCATGATTCAGCCTAGGAACAATCGAGGCCATAGTTATACTCTAGGGATAGTGGTTCTCAAACAGAAGTCATTTTGTCTCCTTACGAGGCATTAGGCAAAGACTGGGGTGGGAGAGGGAGCTATTTTAATTTTAGGGAGCCACGATTAGGAGCGTTAGCACTGGTATCTGGTGGGCAGAAACTAGGCGTTTGCCGAAGGACAGCTGCACACAGTTATCTGGCCCTGATGTTAACAATGCTGAGTCTGAGAAAGCTCATCGAAGAGTAGAAGGTTTTTCCAATGCATGTCAGAGCCACGGTGTGGGATATCCTTGACTAAACACAAGTCAACAAGCCTCAAACCTACATTTTCTTTTAAAAGACTAATTTATGTGCACCAGTGTTTTGCCTACATGTGTGTCTGTTTACCACATGTGTGCGTTGTCCACAAAGACTAGGGGTCTCTCAGGTCCCCCGAGAGCTGGATTTGCAGAGTGCCATGAGAGTGCTGGGTGTTTTCAACCCCTGAGCCGTCACTCAGCTCATCCCTAAATTTTCTGACTCAGAGAAGGACTCTGAGTCCTTAGAATTTGAATTTCTAAGGCATTCTCAGGTGAAGGTGCTTTTGCTGTCCAGGGGTCTGATGCTCTGAGAGCCATCACCAGAGACAAATCTGTCAGTGTGTGTGCATTCTTAGGTAGCTTTGCTTAGGCAGCGGAACAAAACGGCATGTTACTGAACGCTGAGAACTTTGGGAGGTCAAGAAGACCAACACCAATATAGAATGTGGGCTGCTCTCCCCATGCCAGACTTCGCAGGGCCTTAACAGGCTTCTGAAGAAAGGTGCCCTCAAGGACTCAGGCTCCATATTCTTTCCAGGCGTTTGGTTCTACTCTTACTCATTTTTTACTTTTTTACCCTTGGCCCCTTTTCCTCTCTGCCAAGGGTCTTCAGAAAAGTGGGAGGTATTTTTTAGGGGTTCTTTCTACTTGAAAGATGTGTGCTGATGTCAGGTGACCTGTCCTCATTGCTCTTCAGTATGGCCTCATCATGCGCACAGTGAATACAAGTTCAGAGTATCTAGTCTGGTCTGTTACTCTGGAAAGAGAGCTGGGAACTGTGCTTTGTTGTTATCTGCAGTTCTTGTGAAAAACCAGTTTCGGATTCTGTAGATCTGGTGTGGGGTTTGAGAGTTTGCATTGCTGAATAAGCCCTAAGGGGATGGAGACTTTTCTGGAAAAAAAACCAGTGCTTGAAGTAAGTAGCAAGACTGAAGTTTGAAGCAACAAATGATTTTCAAGGAGATAATTATAATTACTGTAAAAAAACAAACAAAGCAGAGCAATCCTACTGTAGTTGCTTCTACGAGAAATAAATGTATTGAATTTGTAACAGTGACACTTAACCCTGGCTCCACGGTGCTGCTTATTATTTTTTTTGCACAGAAAATATTTCTGGAAGCAGATGTTTATAGTGAGATGTGTGCTGGGTTGGGAGCTTCGGGGGCTTTGAGAACCTATATCTATACAATTGATCTACTTCTTAAGAAGTAGAGTTGAAAATAGCTACCGGGCTTCAAAAAAATGTATTGGCAAATGCATTGATTTGTTGTCAGCTTTAAATGAGAAAGTAGAAGACAAAACACTATTCATTTGTTTGTTCATTCATTAGGCGTTGACTCTGGACCAAGCCTTCTAGGCATTGGGGAACATGGCAGATGCGGCTTCCTGCTCTCATGGAGTTTCTAGTGGCTTGGTGAAGACAAGCTTAAGAGAGTCAGGCATGATGATAGGGTAAGGCTTTTGGCCTCTGTTTCTTTCATTCATCTTGTATTAATTATACAAAATTCTAGGCATCACTCAAAATTTTTTTTTTTCGAGACAGGCTTTCTCTGTGTAGCCTTGACTGTCCTGGACTCTCTTTGTAGACCAGGCTGGCCTCGAAATCACAACTATCCCCCTGCCTCTGCCATCCTGAGTGCTGGGATTACAGGCGTGGCCACCATGCCCTGTAATATTTTAATGCATGTATATAATGAACTTTGATTACATTGGAGATATGAAAATTTGAGATACGAGGATATAGAGATAGTAAAATACTGGGTACCAATGAGCTATAGAAGGTGAATGATCGTTCCTTAAAAATCTGGGGGAACAACTTCTTTTTTAAAAAATTAGATGTAGCCAGACCGGTTGGCACAAACCTGTAATCCCAGCACTAGGGGAGGCAGAGGCAGGTGAGCTCTGTGTGCTGGAGGCCTGGTCTACAAAATGATTCCAGGACAGCTAAGGATACACAGAAAAAGCTGTCTCAGAAAAAAATTAGATTTATTCATCTTTTTTCACGTATGTTTTGTCTGCACGTATGCATATGCGCCACATGCATGCTTGGTGCGTGGATGTCAGAACAGGGCATTGAATCCCTTGGAACTGAAGCTATGGATGGTTGTGAGCTACCGAGTGGGTACTGAGAGTCGAACCTGGGTCTGCCACAAGAACAATGAGTGCTTCTAACTGCTGAGGCATCTCTCCAGCCATGGGGGTGGGGGAGCCTTCTCAACAAGATGGGGTTTACGCTGACATCCGCAGGTCAGGGTTGCAGGTAAGTGTAGAGGTCCACAGATGTGTAAGCGTAGTGCAGTGAGTGTGTCTGAGCATAGGGAAGGGAGGAGCATAACCCTTGGTTTTGGGGTTTGGGGAGGAGCAGTGCTTAACAGGACATGTGACTACAGGTGACAGAAACCAACTTGAGCTTAAGTATAAAAGGGAACTTCATTGACTGAGGAAACGGAACATGGGCAGAGCTGGCCTTAGCTACAGAGAAGTGAAAGAATCTCTCTTTTTCTCTTCTGCTTCCCTCGGAAGGCTGCTCTTGCTCTCTCCCTTTGAGGTTGCTTCTTCATATGGTTGGAAAACCACAGGTTAAGATCTCAGATATCACAAGATAGATCTTGGTCTCACTACTGCAAAAAAGAGTAAGGACTCCTTTCTTCTAGAAGGAACATATTAATAACATTCCCATGAATTCTGACAGGATCTTGATGAGCTGCTGAGCACTGTATGCAGTCCTGACCCAGTAACTACGATTGGGAGAAGAGTATTTCAGATTGCCCGTCTCACAAGAACCACAAGGACACTATAATACCCTATGGAGAAAAGGATTTCAGTTGTTGGGGGAAAATGTTGCAAAGTGATATTAGGCAGATAGAAAACAGTTTGCTCCAAGCATGCAGTAGGGGCAAGTAGTGAGGTGAGTCAGTGAGCAGATGTGTTTCCTGAACAAGCCTGGCAACCCGAATTTGATCCCTGGAACACATGTAAAGGTAAAGGAGAAAAATGCCTCTACAAAGTATGTGGTAGGAATTTGGAGTGGGTATTCATACCATATTCACCCACTGGAATTTTTAAACGTATGATTTTTTTTGTTTTTAGATTATTTTCAGTGTTTTTAATTAATTAGTGTGTCTGTGTGAGGGGGTTTGCACACATAAGTACAGCTACCTGCAGAGGCCAGAAAAGGACATTGGACACTCTGGAGCTGGAGTTATAGGTGGGTGTGAGCTGCCAGATGTGGGCTCTAGGAACTGAACTAGGGTCCTCTTCAAGAGAAGTATGTGCTTTTAATCATTGAGCCATCTCTTTAGTCTAGACACTGGACTTATATTTGTTTGTTAGAGGCAGGCTCTCATACTGTAGCCCAGGCTTGCTTTAAATTTGTAGCAATCCACTTGCCTTACCCTTCCTAGAAATGCACCATACTATCCTGGGTTTTGAATACTTATAGGATATCTGTACTATATGGGAGCTGAAAGATGCTAAGAAAGGAAGAAGGAAAAAAAAGCCTTTATATTACTGTTATGTACAAAACATGAAGAGATGGAATAAAAAAATAAAACCTTTTTTCATCACAGCCATTACTGTGACTGCTCTTGAGATTCAGCTCAGCACTCAAGTGTGATGGCAGCATCACTTGGGCCAGGAGACAGATTTATTATGAGGTTATTTAGGTCATAGCCTTCTTTCTCAGCTCTTTTGAAATTAATCATTTCTTCTATAAGCATTATGGTCGAATAAGGTGATATGTAGTTAAAGCAATTGATTTCTCATAAACTAGGCAGAGGAGAAGCATTCCAACTTAATTAAAACATGCAAGGTTGCAATTTATGCAGTGTTTACAGTTGGTGGAAGAGGGCTAGCCATTCATCCCTTAATATTGGAACTGACAGAAGCAGGAAAGCCCTTGGTCTTGTTCAACCATATTAGCTAAGTTGCCTTGCACTGAGCAGTTATGACTGGACAAGATTGCAGAAATATCTATCGGAGCGAACTGTAGACTTGGCGAAATGTTGTGTATGCATAATTGAGGGAATTCATTTTGTTTTATTTTTTGGTGAGAGTTTGTGTGTCCTGTATGTGTGTGGTGTTTGCACGTGTGTGTAGACGCACCTTTGCATGCAAATACCGTGGCTGGAAGAGCATGCTGAGTGGCCTGCTCTAGCCCTGTACCTCTATCCCCTAAGACAGGGTCTTCTCACTCACCCAGAGATAAACTGGTGGCCAGCAAGCCCCAGTGATCCTCCTTTCTCTGCTTCCCATAGTGCTGTGGTTATAGGCATGCCTGGCCATCCCTGGCTTTTTGTTCTGCAGGAGCCGGGCATCTGAACCCAGTTCCTCATGCTAATGTAGCTAATGCTCTTTCTCACTGAGTGATTTCCCCAGCCCTGATGTAATGAAAACATCTAGGCTGTATATTACTTAGACCTGCACTACTCAATACGGTAGCTAGTTCTTGAGACTAGGGAGGTAGCTGAGTTGGGAGAGTGTTTCCCATAGAGGTGTGACTACTCAAGTTTGATCTACACATGGCGATCTACACATGCTTGTGGTCAGCATACTGGAGAGGTGGAGAGAAAGGATCCCCAGGGCTTGTTAGACAGACACCCCAGCCTAACTGGTAAGCCCCAGGTCCTTGTGCGGGCCCTATTCAAACAAACAAACAAACAAAGCAAATAAACAGGTGGGCAGGTCCTGGGCCATGACACCTGAACTACCCTTTAGATTGTACACTTATACACACACCTTCATCCCTCTTCACCTCTCAAACACCCCCCCCCATCAATTCTTCACTCATAGCCTTCCCACTTGCTGTATGGTTCATGACAGCAGAATCTGCCACATCGAACACTTCCTTTCTTTGCAGAGTTCTGTTAGATGGTACTAACTGATAGCATCAACATGTCACTCCCTTTTCTTTGCAGTGAAAGAAGTTTAATAAAGCTTTTTATAGAGGCAGTTTAAAATGGTTTATCTTATTTGTATGTAGGTTGGGTTTTTTTTGTTGTTGTTGTTGTTGTTTTGTTTTGTTTTTTGGCCTGGAGAAGTCAGAAGAGGGCATGCATTGGGTCCCCTGGAACTGGAGTTATAGTTGGCCACTTATACTGTGAGCCACCATGTGGAAGCTGAGACTTGCGCTCTCTGGTCCTCTGAAATAGCAAATGTTTCTTAACCCCCAAATAAAGCTTTAGTGGAGGTTTTTCTTTTCTTCTGTCCACTGTAAGAATGGTGAAATCTCCCTTTAAGGCATACTCTGGATCAGCCACTTCTCTTTCTTTTCCAGGTCACCTCTCTGCCAGAGATGATTGTTATTTTTGCTAGAATTTGGTTATGGTTTGCGTGTCAGTTTCATTTGCTGGAATCTTGGTTCCCAGCATGGCAGCACTGAGAGCGGTGGACTCTTGAAGAGGTAGGGATTAACGGGAAATGATTTTGTTGTGAGGGTGTTCCCTGGGGTGTAATGTATTGTGGGGATCTAATTAGCTTCTACAAGGACAGCTTGTTAAGGAGAAAACAAGCCTGGCTCCTGAGTCCCACTGGCTTCCTCTGTTATATTGTAAGGTCTTTGACTTGCACAGGTTTTTGTCATGATGGCTTCTGCCATGGAGAGATGTAGTGAGGAAAATTTCGTGAGAACTGAGCTGCTGCAATGTTCTTGGATCTTTAATGCTGTGCTAATAAGACCTTTATCTATAAAGTGACCAGATTCAAGTCTTTTGTTATAGCAACAGAAAGTAGAATAATACATCCTCCAATCTAGACAACTTCAAATTTCTCCCATTATTTCTTTTTATGTATGGTCTTCTTACCATTGAATTTCAAAAACCATATGTTAGGTGTTGCAGGTTATTTGGTCCCATTGTGAACCCCAAAATTGTGAACTGTAAAACTCTGTTTCTTGTTTGGTGTGGTTGAGTCCTACCTCACACCTTTAATCCAAGAAATTTATGTTTATTGTAAACAAGTGATTTGGCTCAGCCCTAGCACACATCTTTTATCATATTTTATCCTATTCTGTACACAGGATTGAATACAGTTAACACTAGGTCAAGAGGCAGAGCAAGAAACCAGCTGACAGGGATTAAAGAGCAGGAGGGACTTTGAGTTGAAGGGTATTTAAGACAGCATGTATAAGTAGAAGGGGTTTTAGCTTAGGTTTTAGCTCTCTGGCTCTGTGGCTTTTGGGGCCTTTTGGGCTTTCAGCTATCAAACCTCTGGCCTTGGGTTCTTTGGCCTTTTCTTCCTGGGCCGTCAGCTTTTGGGTTTTTTTTCTATCCAAACCTGAGCTGAGAAGGAAGGTCAGCTGGATGCTTTCTCTGACTCTCTGAGCTAGCAGGTTTTCACCCCAGCATCTGGCTCCTGAGTCTTTATTGGTAAAATAGAATGGTTGGATTTTCTTTCATTCTTTTTTTTTCTTTAAACAGTTAGGTTTGAATTTCTCAAAGAGAACAAAAAGAAATATACAATAAGAAAATCAAGTTTGTTGCATTTTCAACAAACATAATTTCCACTGTCTTTTTGAAATAAGTTATCTTTAATCTTTATAATACACAGGAAAGGTGTTATCATTCCTCTTCCCAAAGACAGAAATTAAATTCCAGAGGAAGCAAATAGCTTATCTGTATTCTCCCAATGTGAAATGGCAGAACTGTTGAGGAAATGTATCATAAAGATGGCAGACAATTTTAGAAGGTGTAACTTGGGCTGCCTTGCCAGACACTCCTAAGCCTTAAGGACATTGGTTGCTGGGTTCCTTTGTTTTGAAGGCAGAGATTCCTACACATCTGCCTTACCTGTGCATTCATGGGACTTTACACCCTCAGATGTGAGAAGAACGCCATTCTCATGACATTTAAGCATACTTTAAAGATTGTTTCAGTGAATAAAGATGCCAAAGCTGCAGGTAGAATTTCGACATGGCTTCTATGCCTTCAGCAAGTCGGACCTGTTTTCCCAAGCTCTAGCAAACTAGTTTCCTTATCTTGAGTGTGAGTCGAAGTTTTAAAATATTAGAAGTTTCAGGGCTGGAGATATGGCTTGGAGGTTAAGAGCACTGGCTGCTCTTTCAGAGGTCCTGAGTTTAATTCCCGGCAACTACAAGGTGGCTCACAACCATCTATGAAGATACTGTTGCTTTCTTCTGGCGAGCTGATGTACATGCAGACAAAACATTGTATATATAATAAATAAACAAGTCTTTGACAAAAATTAGAAGTTTTGAAGGCACAGCGAAAAGGATTGAAAGACTCATTGCAGTTCATACACAAAGCTTACAATAATAGCCAATCAAAATAAGAAAAATGTCTCAGAGCAAGTAAATATAGTGAGATTGGTCACACTGTAGGCTTAGATTTTTCATCAAAACCTATTTTATTCAGGGTTCTTAAGCACCTTTACCTCCCTCCTAGTCTTCCCCCTGCCACCAGCAACCTTAGGTAGGAGAATAGTAGGGAAAAAGGCTGTTGTCCTCTTTTATCTACTTCCATGGATCATTAGGAGATTACCAGACTCAGTCATCAGGATACCAGTCCAAAGGCAACAAGAAGCAACAACACAAAGTCAGTGAAAGACTAAAGCCTCAGTTGGATTGCACAGAGAAGCTCTCTGCAACATTTCTTTCTGCACCAAGATCAGTGCAGCGATGTGGATCCAAACAGCGACATCGCCTGTGCATGGGCCTCTATATATGTCCTCTCCTCAGAGTCCACCCACAGATGTTCTCAGCTGGCCAAAGTCACGCCCCTTGCATGAGAGACATTGGGGTCTTCCTCACTTGCTTTTCCATTTTTTTTTTGAGCTGGATTGTCTTACTGAACCTTTGTCTTTGATGACATCACCAAGCCTTGACTCACCTACCCCACAGCTGTCTTACCTCGACTCCTGTGTTGGGAGTTTCCATTTCCACAAATTACTGCCATGATGCTGCTAATGGTTTCTTTTTTATTTCTTCTTGATACATGTTTTCCTGAAAACTGGATTCAGGCCCGTTTTTCCCCCCAGCACTACTCCTTAAACAGTGGTCCATGGTCTCAGCACCAGCACTTCTTAGACAACCCCTTAGAAAAAAGAAAAAGAAAAAGACAGAGTCACATGTTCCTAAGTAGAATCAAGGATGACATTTTAAGAGTAGGTGCACACCACCATGCTTGGCTTATGCAGGGCTGAGCCTTGATCCTAAGGCTTGTGTTAGGCAAATACTCTATTAGCTTAGACACACCTGTTACCACATGGTCTGGTGCTTAGTAATAATTATCAATTATTTTGCTCTCTGAGGTCTGTTTGCTGTCTCTTATAAGCAGACTGTCATGTATCCCAAGGAATGGTGTGTAACCTTGTCTCCAAAATTATCTATGATTGGCTAGATAAAAGGCCAACACACCTGGGCAGGGCACAAATAAGAGGTGAAGCTAAGTTTCTTGGGCTTGGAGGACAAAAGGATCACAGGAAGAGAAGAGAGTAGGTACTAGAGGAGAAGGAAGTGGGACTGCCGTGGGTTAGTGTGGAGAGAACCTCGTGGCCAGGAGGAATTTACTCTGAGGATCAGCATGGAGAGAACAGCCTGGATGGAAAGCATGTGCTTTATTTATGGAATATTGGATTGGAAGTAGCTCAGATAAGAATCATTAAAGCAAATGTTGTGGGATGTGGGTCTGGGAGGTAACAAGGTAGCCTAGGGGGTTTATTCTGCCCAACCCCAGGCTTAAGGAATATTAAAATATAACAAGTGTCTGTCTTTTATTGATACTGATATCGGCACACTTATAACTAATCCTTTTTCTTTTTGAAAAACTTTATTTTTAAAATTGAGTGTGTGTGTGTGTGTGTGTGTGTGTGTGCGCGCGCGCGCGCGCGCCTGCGCACACGCACGCACATGGACATAAGCACACAATTGAACATTTATGAGCACATGTATGCGAGTGCCAGCACAGAGGTGTCAGTGCCTGGACAGCTGGAGTTAAAAGCGATTGTGAGCTGCCTGACATGGGAGCTGGGACTCGAACTCAGCCTCTCTGGAAGAGCAGCATGTGCTTTTAGCCACTGAGCTGTCTCTCCATTTGTTTTGTTTTGTTGTAACTTGAAGTTATTTCTGTTTTTCTATCAGAATTATCTCTCATATCTGTGATTTATATAAACTGTTCCAGCCTCTGGAAGGGAGCCCCTTTCCGTAAATGTATTGATCCCAAATGTATTGATTTCTTCCCTGGTGAGCATGGTAGGTCATTTCATTTTCAAATTCACTGTGCAGAGAACAAACAGTTCTAAGGAAAACCAGCTCTGCTGTCTCCAACTCTGCTCTGAACAGCCTTACCTACTCACTTTGAATCTGAGAACTTCCTTCCCTTTCAAAGCAGAGAAAGCCTATCTGAATTAGAAAAGTCCGGGGTGGGAACTTGATACTGTCCTGATCAGGAGCATTTGGAATTACACACAGGAAAGACCTGGGTATTTGTCTAGCAGCATGAGCACAGAATGTGTGCAGAGCCTCTCCAGTTTCAGCACTCCAGGAAGCATTGCTGTGACCTGCACTGAGTCCTTCAGCTGATCCCCACCCGGGGAGGGGAGATTCTTCGTGCGTGTGCGTCTCTTCTAAAAGCATCCTTCCTGTAGTCTTCTCACACCTTGGAGACACACTGGCCTGTTTTCTAGGGCATAGAGAACCAAGGTAGCACCTCCCGCAAAACACACCACTTTCTCTTATTTATTTAAGAGCTGTTTATGGTAAACAGCTCTCCTGGGTGTAATTCTGGGTTCCTTTGGAAGACACTGTACAAAGGCCTAGTGGAAATAGGCAGGAATTTTTCATGCTGGGACGGTTGTGTTTCCTGAGGGGAAGGGAAGAAGCTGTCACTGGAAGCTCCTGTTCCTCCAGGGTCCAGGTGAGTTCTGCTCATCTGTGCAGCTCCCAGGAGACCCATTTGCTGATGAGTCCTGGGCTCGCCTCGACCCCTGCTTCCTGTGGCTCCAACACTAAAAGTTGTGCTTCCTCAGGAAACTCACCTACGAGTTCATCTCACCTTTTCTTGGTGCCCTGATCTTATGTTATGCCATGCCAATGATTAGCCATCAGCAGACCTGATTTTTCCTGCCACCCTCCACTTAGCTCCTAACACTCAGAACTGAGATGGAATCATGAGTAACAAGTCTGTGTATGTGCCCATGCATGCATGTGTTGGACGTGTGCACAGTCCCAGAAGAGCCCATGCCTCTGCTGCATCTAAAAATACAAGCTCTCAATGGCTTCAGATGCCATAGACTAGTATTGACTCAAGACTCAGCTTTGTACTGTCTCTCAATCTGTCTCCATTGTTGCCAGTTCTTAAACCCCAGATTCTGTCTTGCTCTTTCTGAACATTTTGACCAGCCCTAACCAAGGTTTGATTTATTGAGGAGGAAAAAAGCCAGGGTATACTGGACTTTATGGCTGACTACTAAGAGAAGAAAAATGTTAGCATTCAAAATCCAAGGTACATCAAATTCTGACTTATAAAGAGAATTTATCTGCAACAGAAGATGGAATTTTAGGAATAGAAACAGCACTGAAACTGCTTTTAGCATAGACGTAAGAAATGCACTCCAACATAATAAAGCAGGACAAACTTACAGCCGATATTACATAAAATGGGGAAAGACTGAAAACATTTCCTCTAAAAGCAGAAAGTGGACACGCGTGTGCACCTGCCTCACTCTTCAGCA